TCTTTCTTTCTTTCTCTCTTTCTTTCTTTCTTTCTCTCTCTCTTTCTCTCTTTCTCTCTTTCTTTCTTTCTTTCTCTCTTTCTTTCTCTCTCTCTTTCTTTCTTTCTTTCTCTCTTTCTCTCTTTCTTTCTTTCTCTCTTTCTTTCTTTCTTTCTCTCTCTCTTTCTCTCTTTCTTTCTTTCTTTCTCCGTGGAGCTCTGGCTATCTTATAATTGGCTCTGTAGACTAGGCTGGCCTAAAATTACAAAGATCCGTCTGCCTCTGCCTCCTGAGTACTGGGATTAAAGGCGTGCACCAGTTTGCTTTCTTATACACACCAGGACCACCTGCTCAGGGGTGGCACTGCCCACCTCAATCATAATCTGAGAAAATACCCTACTGGCAAGCTGATGGAGGCAGATCCTCAACTGAGGTTTCTCTTCCCAGATAACTGTAGCTCGTGTCGAGTTAACAAAACAAAATAGAAAAGTAGGCGGCATAGGCACAGGCATGGCTCTTCCAGGCGTCCACACACATGTTCATCAATTGCTTGATTTTGCACTGGACCTGCACACACAGGAAATGACATACACAACTGGTAGGGACAAGGAGTGTATTCAGAACACAGCAATAAGATGCAAATGAGAAACCATGTAGCCTCCAAGAACCTTTTCTGATGGCCCCGTTAGTGTTCAATGCAAAAACTAAATCTCAGAATTTTAAGTAGGAAATGATGAATGCAGAAAATTAACTGCTACCAAAATTGTTGAGCCCAGCAAGATGGCTCAGCAGATAAAGGCACTTGTCTTGCAAATCTGGTAACTGGAACTACTCCCATGGGTTAAGGAAGAGAACTGACTCCCCAAAATTGTTCTCCAGCTGCCAAATGAGTGCTCTAGTATCTCTGCGCCTACCTTTGCCCCCTCACACCTCCCCACACACATCTCCACCAATAATAAAGTAATATTTCTTTTGAGATACAGTCTTGCTGTACAGCCTTGGCTAACCTTGAACTCACTATGTAGATCAGGCTAACCTTGAACTCACAGAGATTTGCCTGCTTCTGCCTCCCAAGTGCTGAGATTAAGGTGTGCCCACCACTCCTAGGTAAGAGTGTAGATGTAGAATTGTGATTGTGTATTTACCTAAAGAGGGAGGATGGATAGAAAAGCTGGTGCTTATGTGAATGTAGTGGCTGCTGCTTCCGACAGATGTGATGTTCAGATGACCAGCTTCAAGATTTACACATGCTTCCTGTGAGCAAAGGGAAACCTTTCTTTTTTGTTTAATTAAAAAAACTAAGTTTAATCAAACTCAGCTTGTTCAGTAATTCCATTTATCACTGAGTCATCTTGCCTGCCCTAGATGATCTTTAAAAAATATTATTATATTTTCTTAGTGTTATGGTGTGTGTGTCAGCTTGCATGTGGTGTTTAGAGGAAAATTTTGTTCAGTTGATTCTCTTCTTCTACCTTTATTTGGGTCCCATTGATCATGTTTTCAGGCTTATGTGACAAGTGTCTTTATATTGTTATAAATGAGTGGAAATCCCAACCATTCTATTTTACCAATAAAGGCTCAGGAGCCAGGTGCTGGGGTTTTCACCTTAGCTTAGCAAGGCAGAGAAAGCACCTAGCTGATCTTCCTACTCAGCTCAGAAGGAAAAAGCTTTTCTTACGTAGCTCAGCTGACAGCCCAGGAGGAAAAGGCCAAAAACCTGAGGCCAAAGGCTTCCTAGCTCAAAGCTCAAAAAGCCCAAGAGCTAAAGCTCAAAAGCACCAAAGGCCAAGGAGCTGAAGAGCTGAAGAGCTGAAGAGCTAAAGAGCTAAAGAGCTAAAAGCTAAAAGCCAAGAACTAGAGATCTAAAGCTCCTTCTATTTCTCCACGCTGTCTTAAATACCCTTCAACCCAAAGTCCCTCCTACTCTTTAATGCCTGGCAACTGGTTTCTTGCTCTACCTCTTGACCTATAGTTAACTTAATAAATCCTGTGTACAGAAAGTTTTATCTTAAAGGTGTGTGCTAGGGCTGGCTGAATCACACTGTTATCACCTGTTTAACAATAAACAGAATATTCTTGGAATAAAGGTGTGTGTTAGGGCTTAATCACACCAAACAAGAAACAGGTTTTTACAGTTCATAGTTTTGAGGTTCACAGTGGGATCAAATATCCTGCAACATCTTTACCCATAGAACTGCCTTTCTGGCCCTCAGAATCTTTTTTTTTTTTTTGGGGGGGGGGAGATCTAACAAAGGAGTGAGGCAATTATTTAAAGGAAAATGAGAGTGCTGGCACTTTGATGAAAAGGAAATAGATATCTGGCCAGCGAAATCAATCCCTGTCCTCTGCAGCAGCAGCAATATGGGGGAGAGAGACTGGATAGTAGGAAATCAGGCCAAAGTCTGCCTTAAAGCTGGGTGAGGGGGTGAAGACATATGAAATGTTACACATTTAATACATGATGCCTTAGGAGGGTAAGTTTGACAGACGTGTATAAGACATACCCTAGAGACCTGGGAATCCACATCAAAAGGAATGACAATTCGGACTAGAGATTTGCTATTGGCAAGAAACAAAAGAGGGCTAGCCACTGTAATGATAGGAGGGTGACTGCAGAATTAATCAGTGTTAGCAGTAGATTGGGTATTGAGGGCAAAGGACAGGGAGGGGTTGGTTATTGATGCTGAGACTTTGATGACAGCCTTAATGAACAGAGGAGAGTGATTCAGACTGCAGATTCTTCATCAATGAAGACCATGTAGAGCAGTGGTTCTCAATCTTCCAAGTGCTGGGACCCTTTAATAAGGTTCCTCATGTTGTGCTGACCCCAACCACAAATTTATTTAATTGCTACTTCATGACTATAATTTTGCTACTGCTTTGAATCATAATTTGAATTATCTGATATGCAGGATGTCTGACATGCAAACCCTGTAACGGGGTCATTTGACCCCTACAGGGTTGGAGACTGATAGGTTGAGAATGCACTGGCTTAGAAGAAAGTGCAGGACACAACTTTGTGGGACATTTCTAGAGGAGGATGAGGACACAGAAAGTTCCAAGGAGCAGCTGCTGGGGTAGACAGGAGAACCAAGAGTGTTACAAACACATGGAATCCAGGAGATTGGTCTTAGACAGAGGAGTAGTCAAGTCCTGCATGGTTTCAGAAGGGAGGTGATATTTCTTCTGCAAGGTAATATCAGGAAGTTTGATATTTAACAGAAAGATATAGATGATAGTGTTGTTGATTATTAATATTTATTATTGATTTATCTTTAAAACAGTGGTTATTCCTAAACCAGCTGTATACCCAAATCACCACACAGAGACTAGGTTTTATTTAATTAACCTAGAGCACAATGCTGGGCAATAGTTACTCCATACCTCCAAGCCCGCATAGTTTCCTCCCATTCAGATTTCCCACATTATACGTGCTTTTAGCCATATCTGATTTATCTCTCCAAGTCCTCTCCTGCCCTTGCTGATCTCCCTCTCAGACTCCCTCCACTCACTTCCTTCTCCTCACTGGACCAGGATGTCCCACCCTATTCTCTCCATTACTCAGCATTGGCTAGTTGTTTTATTGACTTACAGAGAACAAATGGTGGCATGTTTACACAAATTTAAGACAGGTGATGCTTAGAATAAGCATCACAATGCAATGTCTGGATTGAAGCCAGATAGTGGGGTAGAGAAATCAGCATTTGAATGAACAAGGATAAGATGTATACATTCCATAAGAACATTATACCAACATGATAGAGTCCAGCTAGCTACATCATGATGACATAATAGCAATGTTTGGTCAAGGACAGTTTTTAGAATGGAAAAGACTTATTATGGATGTATTGGCTAATCTTTGTCAGCTCATCACGAGCTAGAGAGACCTGGGAAGACTGACTCTTAGTTGAGGACTTGCCTCTGTCAGATTGGCCTGTGGGCATGTCTGTTGCGCATTTCTTTGATGAGTGATCTTCCCACTAGAACCAGCACTGTCCCTGGGCAGGTGTTTGAGGTTGAACAAACCATGGAGAGTAATCCAGTAAGCACAGTTCCCCTCTAGTCCCTGCTCCAGTTTCCTTTGATAATGCTCTGGAACCTGAAAGCCAAATAAGCCTTTTCCTTCCCAGGTGGTTCTGGTCAGTATTTTATCTATTTTATCACAGTGTCATAAAGCAAACCAGTTCAGGAGTGTCTTAGTAGAGCGGTTTTCTACATAAGTTTTCAGTAGTGGAATGAGATTCTGGGGCTGTGGACCAAGATGGACTCCAGCAAACAAGTGGCAGGAATAACTGTGGGAAAAGAGCTGATTCATTCGAGGTTGAAGGGGAGGAAAGAGTTGGTGACCTGAATGAGAAGAGTGTGGTGGACAAGAGGGAGAATGTGAGCTTACTCCTGTCTAATGCCTCAGTCTTATTTGAGATGGGAAGCATGGGCCTAGGTGTTGGCAGGTTCATCCTGTGAAATTGGAGGGCCTCCATTCAATAAGCTGGTGCAGGATGCTAAATCCCTGGACACCAACCAGGTGAGTGGTGGCAGACTCCAAAATCTGTGACCCTTCTGGAGTGAGCCTCATGCTGCTCTCCTATGCTCCACGCCTCTGCTGGCTTCACTTACTTCCTCCGATCTGCACATGAGGTGATGCTGCTGTGATTTAAGCAGCTCTGCCCAGAGAGTTGGATCAAAGTACTGTCCTACCTTTATTAGGCAACCTTTACTGGAAACTTATGCATTTTCAGAGGAAACTGGGCCTGGCTGTGATTCCTTAAGTGTCCTTACATGGCATTGATGATGCTAAAAGTGAAGAGGGAGTCCATGGAAATGAGAGTGTTACAGTTTCAAAGTCTCTCCAGATGGTTCAGGGGCACTGCTGCTATAACTGAATTCTCAAAGAATATTTGGTTGGTAAATTGCTGTCATCATTCTAAAATAATGGACTTACCTTCTGACACAGAGATGTGTAAGGGTCAAATGACATTTATTTATTCAATGACAATCACACTTCCATTTTCCCATGTTTTAAAGTAATTTTTTTTTGTTTGTTGAAAGATTTACTTTTAATAGCTGTTTGGTTTAAGAGCTAAGCAGTTTGTAGTCATTCAACTTTATTATTGACAAACAAAATTTGTTTTCCCAATCCATCGTACATTAGCTTATTTCAAGTTAATGAATTCATAAGATGAGAGAATGTACCTTTTGTTTTAGAATTTAGACTTAGTGTTTATAAGATGGAGAATATAAAACATTATCACAAAAATCATGGTGAGTAACACAAGGAGGTAAAGAAATTATATTCTAGAAACATAAGATCATTAAATATATTCTGTACCCAAAACATACTTTATTTTTTAAATTTTTTCTCCACAATTTATTTATTATATATCTCAATTGAAGCACCCCCCTCAAATCCCCCCAGGCCCACACTCCCTTTCTTCTTCTCCCCATCTTCTTCCCTAGTCCACTGAAAGGGGAAGTTCTCCACTATTGCCACCTGCCCATAGCTTGTTAAGTCTCATCAGGACTGCCTGGATCCTCTTCCTCGGTGGCCTGGCAAGGCTGCATCATCAGGAGACAGTGATCAAAGAGCAGTCAACTGGATTCATGATAGAGGCAGTCCCTGCTCCCCTCACTCAGAACTTCACATGGAGACTGGGCTGCCAAACATCTTTGGGCAGAGCGCAGGGAGTCTTATGGAGGAATAAATGGGTGGGAATAGAGGGACATGGAGGGAACAGGAGCCCCACAATTAAAGTAATTTTTAAAGACTCAGATAAGTAGGGGGAAAAGAGGTAACAAAAGCTGTTTTTCTGACCAAAAGTCACTGTTTTACCTACTAGTAGGAAATGTGTGTGGCTGTATACACTCTTAGAAAAATCTACTTCTGAGAACATAACCAAACCAAACCTTCGGCAGAGTACAGAGTGCAGGGAATCATATGAAAGAGGGAGTTAGTATGACCTGGAGAGGACAGGAGCTCCATAAGGACCTAATATATCTGGACACAGGGGTCTTTTGTGAGACTGTATCTCCAACCAAGGACCATGTATGGATATAACCTAGAACCCCTGCTCGGATGTAGCCCATGGTAGCTCAGTATCCAAGTATGTTCCCTAGTAAGGGGAACAGGGACTATTTCTGACATGAACTCAATGGCTGGCTCTTTGACCGCCCCCCCCACACACCTGAGGGAGGAGCAGCCCTGCTAGGCCACAGAGGAGGACTTTGCAGTCAGTCCTGAAGATACCTGATAAGCTAGGGTCAGATGAAAGCGGAGGAAGTCCTCCCCTATCAGTGGACTTGGAAAGGGGTAGGGAGATGATGAGATGGGAGGGTGGGATTGGGAGGGAATGAGGGAGCGGGATACAGCTGGGATACAAAGTTAATAAACTATAATATTTAAAAAATAAAAATTTAATTAAAAAAAGAAAAAATCTACTACTAAGACATATTTTTCTTAAATTTTAAGGGATATTTCTTTCCTGTATAACGTTTCCTATGTAAATGGAGAGGCCAGAGAGAAGAAACTTTGTCCCCCAAGTACCAACAGGCCACCGGACAGTGCCATGGTGCCTCACAAAGTGAGTACTGGAGGAGGATCGTTCCCTCCCTCTTGGCTTTTTAAGGTATCTCCCTAAACTATAAAATAGCACCCGACTGTAGCAACAGCCTGCAGGTTTCCACCGTCTTCAGCTACATCCTAGTTATTTCTTTACAATAGCATTTACCAGGAAAAGATCAAAGATATTCTAAGCCATTTTCCAAACCACAGTTAACTGTTGTAATGAGTAAGTATTTACTGATTTTAAAAGTACAAAATCGAAGCCAGGTGTGGTGGCGTATGCCTTTAATCTCAGCGCTCAGGAGGTAGAGGCAGGGAGATTGAAGTGAGGCTGTTGTGCCTACATCTCCAGACCCCGAAAGACCACCAGGAACATGAATCCGATGCAAACACATGAGGGTTTTTATTTAAGCTCAAGTTCGGGCTGTCAATTGTCCCTGACATAGCAGTTTAGAAAGAGCAGGCCCGAGCCTTAGGAGGGCAGAGTTTTTAAAGGGAAAAATTGCAAGCAGGGAATTCCAAGCCTTGGTGTTACAGGAATGGGTAAGAGGGAGTGGGTAGATTGACTTTTAATGTGATTGATTTGGGCCAACTGGCCAAACCACAAGAGGGAAACAGGCTATTGAAAAGGAACATCTTGACCTGGGCAAGACCAAGAACTGTGTGTACTTTTATTTCATTGGTTGGCTCCAGGTGCAGGGCCTAATTATTCTTGCCAAGCTCCTCTTGTGATTTTTTTCACTTGCCAAGTTCCTCCTGTGGATTTTTTACTTGCCAAGTTCCTGGTTAGGGAACTTGGGTCACCTAAATGACAGGGCCATTTAAAATGGTGTCTGAAAAACAAGATGGTGTTAGTTCTGCTCTTGCTGTCTCAATGCCAGCCTCCTCTACAAAGTCAGTTCAGGACAGCCAAGGCTACACCTGAAACCCTGCTCGGGAGTGGGGGGAGTACAAAATCAGAGAAGACTGGGTTCTCCCTCCCCAGGGAAAGTTCACACAGAGTTGTAGATGATGGCTTTTCTTTCTGTCATTCTTCTCCTCCTTTTTCCTCTTCCTCCTTTTTTTTTTTTTTTTTTGAGAGAAAGGGGCTCTCTCTATGTAGCCCCAAATATCCTGGAACTTTCTATGTAGGTTGAACTGCTAGAGATCTGCCTACTTCTGCCTCCCAAGTGCTGAGGGCATCTTTCCCGTTACTCACAGTGCAGGTCAGGCCACTAGTTACCTTCTCCCTTTCATTACAAGCCTTGGCAATAGCATTAAGTTTCCTGCTGCTCTTTTTCTCTCAAACTATACATTTTCCATCTTTCTGTCCCACTTGCTCATTTTTATCATAAGAATGACTAGAAACAACCACATGACAGAGTCAATTAGGCTGTCTTGAAACCTTCTCCACTAAAGAAATTAGTCCACTATTTCTTAATTTGACCTCTTAGGACAAGGGTAGAAAGAAGTCACAGTCTTTGCCAAAGTATCCCAGGAGTGGTCTCTAGCCCAGTTGCTAACGTTAGTTCCTCTAAAGCCTTTTGATCTGGTCCTCCATGGTCCTCATTACTGTTTTTCAAGCTTCTACTGAGACAACCTGCTAAAGCGCCACTTACAGTATTCAACTGTTCCTACGTTCCTTTGAAAGGAAACATGGTCAGGTTTCACAGCAATAGCCCACTCCCTGCTTCTAACTTATGTCTTAGTTACTTTTCAGTTGCTGTGACAAAACACAGTGACCAAGGAAACTTATAAAAGAAGGTGTTAATTGGGCTTATGGTTTTAGAGGTGGAGCATGGCGGTGCTCCATGGTGGTGCTCCATGGCGGTGCTCCATGGCGGTGCTCCACGGCAGTGCTCCATGGTGGTGGGAATAGCTGAGCGTTCACATCTGATTCAAGAGCAGGAGGCAGAGAGAGGGCACAGTGGGTGGTGCAAGTCTTTTGAAACCTCAAAGCTGACCCACAGTGATATAACTCCTCCGATAAGGCCACACCTCCTAATCCTTCCCAGATAATTTTACCAGCTGGGGACCAAGAGTTCAAATGCTTGAGACTTATAAGAGATACCTCATTCAAACCACCACCATAAGAAGAAGAAAAAACAGTTAAAAGATTTAGGAATATAGTTGGGCTTCCGTACTCAACTATATACCCATGCCACCAACCACAAGTGAAAAATGTTTGCAAAAAGTTGTATATATACTACACAAGTATAGAGGTTTTCTTGTCACTATTCTAGAAGTCATTCAGCATGATGACAATATACTTGTATGCGGTATTATAGTAACTGAGAGTAAATACAACACAGATAAGAGATGTATGTAAAGCCTATGTAAAATTTGAAACTCTCTCATGTTTTGGACTTGAGCAGCTAGATCAGTGGTTCTCAACCTGTGGGTCACAACCTTTGGCAATCCTCTATATCCAAAAATTATTTACATTATGATTCATCTTCTTTTCTCTTACTTTTGAAACCTTAAAGCTGACTTACCCCCACCCCCCAGTGATATACCTCCTCCAATAAGGCTATACCTCTTTTTTCTTTTCTCTTTCTTTCTTTCTTTCTTTCTTTCTTTCTTTCTTTTTTTTTTTTTTTTTTTGTTTTCAACACAGGGTTTTCTGTGTAGCCTTGGTTATCCTGGAACTTGCTCTTCTCTGTACACCAAATTGTCCTTAAACTCACAGAGATCTGCTTGTCTCTGCCTCCAGAGTGCTGGGATTAAAGGCCTGGGCCACCATTGCCCAGCTTGTATTATGGCTCATAACAGTAGCAACGTTACAGTTATAAAGTAGCAACAGAATAATTTTATGGTTGGGAGCCATCACAACATGAGTAACTGTATTAAAGGGTTGCAGCATTAGGAAGGTTGAGAACAGCTGGTCTAGGTTTTAGTATCTTTGAAGGATCCTAAAATTAGTTCTTCTTAAATACCAGGTAATGCTTATACCAGAAGAAAAAAAAAAATCTGTCCTCATATTCATGCTTAGTTTTACAATGTACAACTTAAGACAGTTTTGGGCCTATGCTATGACCCACATTACTAATATTATTTATCTTATCAACATCTCTCAATTTAAAATGAGGCATGCTAGTGCATGCCTTTAATCGCAGCACTTGGGAGGCAGAGGCAGGAGGATCTCGTGGTCTACAGACTGAGCTCCAGGACAGTCAGGGCTACCCAGAGATATCCTGTCTCAAAACAAAACAAAAATCTCTCAACTTAGAGTTGGGCATGGTGGTACACACCTGCAAACCTGGCTCTTAGAAGCAGAAGCAGGAGGATCAGCTAGGAGTTCCAGCCAGGCAGGGTTACTATGGTGAGTGAGAACCTGTGTCAAGAAAGCAACCAATAAACCCAACATCAGCAGCGCCTTACTTAATAATAGTATCCTTTTGGGATAAGGACTAAGTAAATAAAGTTTTTCTTGTACTAACATATTCATCCTTTTCTTTATAAGCAGAAGACATTAGCGGACACTTTGGTTCCTGAAGAATTTCATATTGTGTCAAATACAGGCGTTGTAGGTTTGGAGTGTTATGATGAGTGAGTACTATGATGTTTTGTTGAATATCTGACATGCATTGCTTTCTCCCTCTCATACTTAAAGAACCTGAGAAGAGCACACTCATTTCCCTAGTGTGGAAGGAAATGTTTCAGTGAGCTGCCCTAGTACAATTTAGGAAAGATTAAGACAGAAACAAAGAGAAGATAACCTAAGGAGATGGACCTGAAGAGTTTGCATCTCTCTCTTTCATTCCGATTTTCTTCCTTTCTTTTTCTATCTCCTCCTCTTCTTTCTCCTGTTTGTTTTTAGAGCAGAGTGAACACAGATTAGTTAAGGTAGAGCAAGAAAGGACTCCTGATAGTTAGGGGGACTCCAAGGGAGAAATACAAGAATTTTGGGTTTTCATGATTAAATAGTTCTATAGCTTTTCCCTCTTAATTTTTAAGATTTTAAGAAGTGGAACATGGGGAGGCTGTCCTTTCCTGAGGAGTAGGGGAGGGGAGATGGGAAGAGGGAGGGTAGGACCAGAAGGAGAGGAGGGAAGGGGCTATACATTAGGATGTAAAGTGAACCAAATTAATTAATAAAGAAGAAATCTTTAAAGAAATGGACCTTTAGGTGGGCATGGTGGTGCACAGCTTTAATCACAGCACTCCGGAGGCAGAGGCAGGTGGATTGCTGTGAGTTCAAGGCCAGCCTGGTCTACAAAGTGAGTCCAGGACAGCCAACCCTGTCTCAAAAAACAAGACAAAACAACAACAACAACAACAAAATGACTTCTGTGTGGTAGTATATCCCTGTAATCCCAACACTGGGAAGCTGAGGCAGGAGGATTATAAATTCAAAGTTATTTTTCTTTCCTTTTTTTTGGTACTGGGACTTGAATGGAGGGCTTTGTACATGCCATCAAGGGCTCTGTCGTTGAGCTATGTTTCAAGCCCACTCTGCCATCCTTGAAAATGTCAAAAGGCACTGCTGTTGTGTTGTTAGCTGCATTTGTGTGTGTGCCCATGCGCGTGTGCGTGCAAATGCTGGGGGGTGCACATCACAGAACAGTTTTTGGGAGTCAGGTCTCCCCTTCTACCACGTGGGTTCCAACATCAAACTCTGGTTGTCGGGCTTGGTGGCAAGAACCTTTACCCACTGAGTATCTCAGAGGCCTTAAGAAGGTCTCATGTAGCTCAGGTAGATCTCAAAAGGAGGTGAGCTTAAACCAGTCCTCCTGCCTCTGCCTCCTAGAGGCAGGTGGGAGTACAGGTCTACGTCTTTGTTTGTTTGAATGAATCAAGGAAATTTTTGTATTTTGAGATGTCAAAAATGGAATTAAATATCCTTTATGAAAAGTGTTCATAAAAATATATGATTAGTGTCATAGTATTTCTGTGTGGATATTTATGGATGATTTTGTACGCACAAAAAGGACCTTAAAAATATTGTCCATGCTTCTGAATTCCACTGAAGCCTTAGCTTTCTCATGTTATTTTTTTCATCTCTGTTCCTCAAACGAGTTACCAGTAATTTTTCTCTAGAAAACATTTTTAGTTTAGTGGAGAATGGCTCTCAGGAACCAAGATGCTGGGTGGTTGGTGTGCTAACTAATGATCAACAGGTCAGGGATTATCCTCTCTTCCCCACCCCCCTCACCCCCGCTTCCCAGGGCCTCCTTTTTTTTTTTTTCTCTCTACTATTCTATACACTTCATACCTAGAATGTTTTCTTAACATTTTTCTTATTTGTTGCAGCAAATACACCACCCTCCTCACAGACAGTGAGAACCGGCTGTTGCTCTTCCCGTCCATGTAAGTACAGTTGACTTTCTAAAATATTGGAAAGAGTTAACTGCATACACATATGTTCTTTTTCTTGGTATTTTATGACATAAAAACATTCAAGTCACAGCAGAGACCCAGGAAGGTGGCAATTGCCCGTAAGGCCATCATTTAATTAGCTGTGTTCCTGTGACCAATTGCATATCCAAATAGTATGCATAGCAGAATATGTGCTTTTATATTCTGTACATCAAGTGTTAGACTCTCTCTGCATTGCCGTGTTTCTTTTGTCTTTTCTCACACTTTGAACGGCCCAGGGTTGAAGCTTGGTTTTTTTGGTTCCCTCCTTTTCCCTGTGTTCTTGCCTTCTCATATGTAGTTACATAGGGGTGAGAACTAATATAATAATAATAATAATAATAATAATAATAATAATAATAATAATAATAATAACAACTATTATTATTATTGTTTTTTGGGACAAGTCCTGCCTGTCCTGAAACTCACTCAATAGACCAGCCTAGCCTTGAACTCAGAAATTCATCTGCCCTTGCCTCCTGAGTTCTGGGATTAAAGGTATAGACCACCACTGCCTGGCAGAATTATTATATTTTTATGAAAAAATTATATTACTTTCATTTTCATTGTTTTAAACTCTGTTACTGACATACCTCTACCACTAAATAAATATATCTGGGCCTAATCCTTCAAATTTTCCTTAATATTCTATTGTACGTTTATTTCCTGAAACAGTATATATATTATATGAAACTTTTATTTACATTTCTTTAGTTTGGTTTCACAGATTCTGCTGATAGATCTTTTTGTTATTTTGTTATTATTATTATTTTTTCCAGAGCTGAGGACTGAACCCAGGGCCTGTGCTAGGCAAGGGCTCTACTACTGAGCTAAATCCCCAACCCAACATTTTATGTTTTTATTGTCTTCTGAAGATGACATGATGAGTTGTCATTTACTGAAGTCTGTCCCTTCGATCTTTAGGAAACCTAATAAAAGAATAGAAGTGGTCCAGCTGAGTAATGTGATGGACGCCATGCTGGAGAGGGCTGGAGTAGAAAGTGAGGAGCTTGTAGGGCCAACCAAGGTAAGTGCCAGTCAGAAAAACCCGTGGCTGACAGTGTGTGCTTGGGAGGCAGAGTGCTTGGTAAGGAATCTGACTGCCATTTACTAGCGGGTAACATGGGTAAATCTTCTCACGTCTTTGTATCTCAATTTCCTAATCTATTGATTAGAAGTAATAATGGTACCTGCCACGTGGGGCTGTGAGACTGAACGGCATATTAAAGTTCTTTGAAAGGGCCTGATGTGGCAAACACTACACCATCAACTGTCAGGATAGTTACATGTTGTTTGGTCAAGGGGATGTGTTCCGGGAGAGGCATCATCAGGCAATGTCATTACTGTGCAAACATGATAGCATGGATTTAAATAAACCCAGACACACAAGCCTAGGGGTCTAGTCTGCTATAACTCCACAGGTAGTTGTGGCACATTGGTGAGGATCTTTATCCAAATGGAGAAGGCCAGCAAAGATAGCTGATGGGGATTTTCAGTTCCATTCTAACCTCTGAGCACCATGCTAAAGACCTGGTCTGTTGTTGACTGAAGCATTGTTATTCAGCATAAGACTATGCTGTTACTCTGTTTCCCAAGGCTCCATGCATTGACCTTATTACTTAGTTTTATTTTTAATGGACATATAATATTTATACGTCTTTATGGAGTGCAGTGTAATATTTCCTGATACAATATGTAGTGATCAGATGAGGTAATTTGAATATCCTCTAATAGTTCTAATTTCCCTTTTCTGGTACATTTAAAATCTTTCCTGAATGGTTTGTTTTGAAATAATTTCAGGCTTGCCTTGAATGCACTATGTATCAGGAGGTGACTTTGAACTTTTGTAGATGTTTGTAGAATTTCTGATCCTCCTGTCTCCATCTCCCAAGGGTTACAAACCAACACCAACAGGCCTGGTTCATGTGGTATCTGGGACTGAACCCAGGGCTTTATGTGCACTGTACCAACTGACTCACATCCCTCCCCATTCTCTTGGTTATTCTGAAATATGTAGCTGGTTGTGATGGCATAGGTCTACAAGTTTTCTTAGCACTTGAAAGTTGAGGCAGAAGAATTTCAAGTTCCAATCTAGCCTGGGCTAAATAGCAAGTATTTGTCTGAAAATAAACAAACAAGCAAACAAAAAAACGAAAAGAAGGCTGATAAGAAAGCTCCGTGGGTAGAGGTACTTGCCCTCAAGGCTGGTTTCCATGTATCTGGTCACTATGTGATAGATAAGATAGGATTATTTCATATTCAAATTTTATAATTCACCGGTTGTCCCTCTGGTGGTTTTATAAGCTATCCCACTCAGTCCAGGATCCCAGGGTACTTTCAGTTGTTTCTGCCTTAGATAGCTTCAGCCCAAACAGCTCACCAGTATTTCTTTGCTTTTCTTGCCCTTGATACCCTGCCATTCATAGGCTAGTTTGTTTGTAGAATCTGCCCCATTTTTGGTTTTGCTGATGGAGACTCAATATCAGAATCAGGCTTCATTCTGGTAGGTATAATACAGAAGTGGTATTGATATTTTCAGTGCATCTCATAAAAGCATTTGAAATTAGCTAGATTCTAAAAGTCACTTCTGGATATTTAAATACATGATTGAAAACACAGTAAGTCAGCCAAGTGTCTACTAATAGTGCTCGCTTTCAGCATAGTTACTTTTTTCTTTGAGTGTCTCAACATTCGCTTTTATTTTCAGTTGACATCAATTTCAAATTTCAGATCTTCAAATATCAGTACTTAAAACTTCAAAACATGGTCAACAAGAACATTGTTTAAAATATGAATTCACATTCACTATTTAGTGAAAGTATTCCATTTGATAGTTATTCTTCAGTTAATTATTGTATGTAGTACTATAAGAAATACTTAAATGGCATTGATGACTCTAATTGTATAAAGTGAATGACTCTTGGCTATTGTCAAATTTTTATAGTATTTTGCTAAAAAGGAAGTGATGTATATTAATCATCTTTTCTATTGTAATATGTCTAATATAAGGGACCATTATAAAGGAAATAAGTTTATTATTCTTTATATTTGCAAGCATATTTACTTTTTAAAATGATTTGGATGGTACCTTGTGATAAGCACTGCTTATCTGCCTTTCCTCTGATAGATGCACCAAATACTACACATATTGAAGAAGGAACAGACCATTTACAACACAATCTTTCATGAGCTAATTCGACAAGTCAGTGTGGACTGTGTAGATAGAGGAGAACTACTGTCAAAAATCAGGTTAGCGCTGTTAATGGACTGCTCCAGGTTCCTCATCTCAAAAATTTTAATTATAATCATTAGTTCATATTAATTACCCAAATTAATAGGAGTCACTGTACTATTGTCATATATGCATTTTAAAAAATGTGTTTGAGCTGTGCTTATATGTACTTTTGAGAAAGCTACAAGAGTATCTCTATGGAACTAACTTGTGTTTAATTTTAATTTCTGTAGGAAAATCTTCCTTTTGGCATAAGCTCTTGGTAAAAGTCCAAGCCTTTGTTTTCTCACTTGAGTGAAGAGAATAGCCTCTATGTACATATTGCCTCATAAACCAGTGATTTTGTTGAGTCTCCACTCTGTATCAGGGATTGAGATGTTTGATAGGATGGTAGAAAGATCTAACTGAACAATTATTGAAACAGAGTCTCATGTAGCTCAGGCTGACCGCACACTTGTTATACAGCCAAGGCTGGACTGGAACTCCTGGCATTAAATGGCTGTGGTGAAATTTAAACAAGAATACAGGGACGTGAGTGAATATAGGCCAGTGGGTAAAGTGCTTACCATGCATGCCCGTGACCTGAAATCCATGACGGAGGGAGAGAGCCGCTTCCAGAAAGTTGCCCTCTGGCCTCCTCATGTGGCATGTTGCCCACACACCTGTGAGTAAATGCAGCCCTATTTCAGAATAATAATGACTAGATTAAATTTTAAAATGGAAGCAGAAATAGGTGCTCACTATGTGTAGCTATTAATGGTGAAGATGATAAATGCTATTGTTTCTATAATAATCCCACTTATGACTTTTGTTCTGTTCAAATTGCTGAAAGAATACATTGGCCAAATAGTTTATCTGTGTTTAACATTCTATGGAACCAGGGGAAATTGTAAGAGCTTTCTGAACATCTCTTTTTTAAACACAGGATTTCACTCTATTGCCCTGGCTGGCTGGGCACTTGGTATGTAGACCAGGCTGGTGCAAACTTGATGTTAAATATCTACTGAAAGATGTGCCTCCTGGGACATCAGAGGAACTGGGATTAAAGGAATGCACCATCATACCCAGCCTATCTAGTTCTTAAAATTATTATTGTATATGTGTATCATGTGTGTATGAGGGCACAAGGAGGTCAGAGGACAACTTTGCAGTTAATTCTCTCCTTCATCTGAACCCAAGTCACTGAGTTTGTGTGGCAAGTGCTTTCATCTGCTGAGCCACATCTCTGCCCCAACAAGCTCCCCTCTAGTGTGAGATAGTGTGACTTTCCCTTTCCTGAGGTCTGATTGGTCTGAGAAAGTAGTGGCAAAGCCATGAGAGCCTGGTTAGGGTTAGAAGGAGAAGAGTACAGAGAACACAGTGAAGAGTGCCAAGTTGGAGTAACAACAGGCCAGCAGCCTACACCCTCAAGCTCCAAATAAAGCCAAAGGTAACGAGACCGAAGAAGTACAGGGCTGATAGCAAGAGAAACAACTCTTTCAGATGAGAGCATTTTACCCACTTTTAAATAGTTGCTGTCTTTTTACATTTAGTCAGTTTGAGGAAAGCATCATCTATGAATTCAACTATATAAAAAATCTCTATTCAAGGCACTCTGGTTAATATAAAGGTGGATATATGGTTCCTCTCTCAAAAGAGTTTGAAATTTAGAAGAACTAAAACATGTCCTTATTTTTGTTTTAAGTCTCAGACATTGCTTATATTCCCAACAGCTGTGCCATATCTCTGGTTCTAACTCAGCATGGTTGTTCATTCTCTGTGTGGGTGCTATGGGAGGAACCTGGGTTTGTGTGTGCCTACTGGCTATTTGTTTTCCTAACATCACTTTCTCACTTGCATGCTTCCCACTTCTCTTCTCTCTCCCTTTCCCTTTGTTTCTCCTGCAGACACAAATATGTGCAGCTGCTGGACCAGATCACCCGGCAGATGATTGACTTTTACAAGGACTTGGTGACTCAGCGCATGATGGACCAGCGTATCCTAGAAGAGCTGTACAACTTCAAGAAAGTGATCGAGGAGCTGACCAGGTGAAAGCCTCGAGGCTCCTCTGTACAAAGCAGACGCCAGAGCCTGTCTTCACCTGCACTGGATGATAATTATGAGAGGCATGGTTGGAGGGGAAGGCCCCTTTGCCTTTGGTGCTTAGCAAGAAAGCCAGGCAAAGAATGGCTCCTCATTTCAACTGAAAGCCAAATTCTGCCTGTATTTGATAGAGAAGAACCTGTTCTACCTTATAGATACTTATCGTAAACGTATGTCCAGAGCACTTCCATGGTTGTAAGTGCTAATGTTCAAATTCCAAAGACAATAAATACAATATAGCAATCATGGCTAACAGGCTAACCTCGTGTCAAGATGACTAGTGGCAGGAGTGAAGAGCACAGGCTAGGCAGGCCAGAGCTGGGTTGCAGTGTCTGCCTCTGCTGTGTTCACGACGCACCGCCACATTGCTCTGCCTTTTCTTGCCAGCCCAAGTCCATTGCCAGACTTGATGAGATTCCATTCTGGATGTGCACTGGTGGTTTTGGTTTGGCTTATGGGGTAGCAAATGAAGAGAGGAAGATACACAATAATTGAGATTATGTGCAAATCTGATTTCTAAGGGGGAAACCTTTTGGAAGTTTCCAACTCTGAATTTGAAATTTCTTTGTTTTTTTTTCCCCCTGTCCACCAGGGAACTTTGTCTGGTCCAGGCCAATGATAAGAGATTAACAATGGAAGCAGAGAGAGCCCAGAAGGACCTGGCAGAAGCTCTTTTGGCAGCAGAAAAGAATGCCAGGTGAGTTGGTCACGTTTATATTACTTGATAATGGAAAGGGGAGACGCTTAATCTGTTTGCTTTCCTGGGCCTCAGTTGGCCTGTATGTAAAATCCAGGTGGCCACCTGCTTTTTAGGGCTATTATGAAGGTTAAAAGTGACAGTGCAAAAGAGCCCTTCAGGTGTTATCTCTGGGTCGGTGTCAGTTAGTGAAGCCTTATAGGGACATGCCATGTTTATATCCTGCCTCTGACTGTCTGACATTCTCTGCACAGGTCACAAAAGGCAAACAGTTGTGACAGGAACCATATCTGTGTCTGTTCCCTGTAATATAATAAAAGTATTAATATGGCTGTGCAATATCAGGAAAGGATTTCTTACATTCCAAGAGACTGAAAGTTTTGCTGGACCTCAGGCCAGAGTTAATAACACCCCTTAAAGTTGATATACGGTATCAGCCTCTCAGTTTAACCTCGGTTTACGAGAACATGTAACAATGAACCTCACTTGCCTTGGATTTCCTATGTAGTAAGCTTTTACAACTGAAGCTAATGCACAACTGTAATCTTAAATGATGTGTTCTTCTATGCCCCTGATCCAGAACAATGCATGAATGTTGTGTTATCATTTTCTGGAAACAGCTAATACAGAGATTGAAAACAGTCTTCTGAAATGAATATCACTTATGAATGTTGGTTAATAAACAATGCTGTTAAGGTACTGCTTGCTGTCTGGGTCACTTGGGGCTAGCTGGAGCCAGTGACTTAATTCCTTGTAAACCTCTGTTAAATATTTCTGTGAAGTAACCCGTTCCTTTCGCATGTGAAGCTGTCTGTGCTGCTCAATAAATACAAAGACATTTGTTAGGGACACACACACACACACAATCAGACACACACACAGACATACAGACACACTGACACAAACACAACGGACAGACAGACACACACATATGGAACACACAGACACAGGGACAGATTGACAAGACAGTCTTCAGATGGACACAGATTCAGACTCATGCCACAGACAGAGAACAGGACTCACTGGTTGCATGAGGGAAAGAGTTAAATCTGGACTTGCTCTTGGTTAAATGCTCTTGGTTAAATGACTCCAAAGGCAAGTGTTTTTATTTCATTCCTTCATATGACACAGATACATTATTGGTGACTCAGAACCACTCACTACTGTGTTTAATCAACACAATTAAAGCTAGTAAATTCACTAAATTTAAAGGTAACAGTGTGAAATGCTTTTCTCATTTCCTTTTGTAAAACTTTCAGTTCCTGGGAATCTAGCTAATAACTTGTAGCTAGTAACTCAGAAAAATTTCAAAGCCCAGCTCCAATGTTGTTTTTAGTTACATAAAATCCTTCCAGTTTTTTTCCTTTGTAATACCTTACCAACAAATAGGTATGGTTCAACTAGGTGGAATGGCCATTTCATTTTTCTTTTGGAGAATGTTGACAAATTTTTAAACAGACTTCACTGCTCAAGATCATGTAAAATGAGGAAATTCATAGTACTTGTCTTCATTTACACCTGTATTCTGAGTTTTTAGAATAGTGCCTGAAAAATAATAGGTAATAAGTAAGTTTTTAATAAAGATATAAATTCTGGTTATAACTATTGTATTACTCTCCTGGGTCCCATATGTATAAGGTTTAGTAGAATAATATGTGATTATTTGTCCGTATTCAACATCTTGGGTTTTTTAAATATATGTCATATTTGATGAAAATGAAAGCATTTTGTAAAATGCTTATTGAATTTCATAAATAAAAAATAACACTTGAAAACAATTACTAAAGAAACCCAAAAAGACCTTTCAGTTCTTTAAATGAAGAAAATGTGTGCATGTGGTGCATATGTCTGTGTATCTGTGATTGCATGTGTGTCTGTGATTACCTGTGTATGTCTGTGATTACCTGTGTGTGTCTGTGACTATCTGTGTGTGCATGCATGCATATGTATGTATGTGTCTGTGACTGCATGTGTGTGTGTGGAAGTCAGAGGTCACTGCAGCTTCTTCCTCTATTCCTCTCCACCTTTTTTATTTTGCTTTTTATCTGTGCAGGTGTTTTGTCTGTATGTCTGTCAGTGTACCATGTGTATGCTGGGCCTGTGGGGTCTAGAAGAGGGTATCAGATACTAGAACTGGAGTTACAGATGGTTGTGAGCTACTCTTTGAGTGGTGGGAACCAAGCTCAGGTCCCCTGGAAGAGCAGCAACACTCTTAAGTCTGTGCCATCTTTTCAGTCCCCATTTTTCCTCTTTTATAAATTAGGTTATTCATTCTCTTTATAAAATAGAAAGGCAAACACATCGTTAAAGTATAGCTCCACAATTTTTTTTTGTCTTTACCTAACTGTGTGATTTTTCTCTCAATTATTCTGAGCAAACGGAAGAAGACCTAAAGTGGTAGTTCCTGACTTATACCAATAATATAGTTCTATGTCTCTGGACTTAAGTTCTCTTTTTGGGGGGGAGGGTGAGGGTGAGACTGGGTCTCTCTGTGTAACCCTAGCCTGTCCTGGAACTCACTTTGTAGACCAGGCTGGACTCCACAGAGATTTCACCTGCCTCTGCCTCCTGAGTGTGACATGTGCTACCATATCTGTCCAGATTTTAATTCTTGTAGCAAAGTTAATATCAGTGAGGAGAATGCATTTGTCACTGTCTTAGTTAATGTTCTTTTGCTGTGAAGAGACACTATGACCAGAGCAACTCTTATAAAGGAAAACATTTAATTGGGGATGGCTTACAGTTCAGAGGTAATCTGGGTGGGAGGCATGGTGGCATGTAGGCAGATATGGTGCTAGCGAAGGAGCTGAGAAGAGAGCGAGAGACTAGGCTTGGCTTGAGCATCTGAAACCCCAAAGCCCACCCCCAGTGACACATTTTCTCCAACAAGGCCACACCTACTCTAACAAGGTCACACCTCCTAATAATGCTACTCTCTGCACCAACCATTCAAATCTATGAGGGCCATTCAAACCACCACTGCCACTTTGGAACTTCTGTGTTTATTCTTTTCATTGTATTTAGTGTGTGTGTGTGTGTGTGTGTGTGTCTGTCTGTCTTGGGAGTTGAAAATCAGGTTTTCAGGCTTGGCAGGCTTACCTGCTGAGCCATCTTGCCAGTCCCAACAACTCCAGGTTGGCTAAACTCAAATGGTTTTTAATTCTGGGAGAGGCAATGGTATAAATTAAAGAAAAAGTACATTCTGCCAGACATGAAAGAAAGAAAGAAAGAAAAGAAAGAAAGAAAGAAAGAAAGAAAGAAGTGTGTCTTAAGTTAGAGTTACTATTGCTATGAGGGAACATCAAGACAAAAGCAACATGGTGGTGGGGAGGCAGGGAGAAAAGGGTTTATTTGGCCCAAATATCCAATTGAGAAAACCCAAAGCAGGAACTCAAACACAGCAGGACCCTGAAGGCAAGAACTGATGCAGAGGTCATGGAGGACTGCTGCTTACTGGCTAACTGGCTCTTGGCTCACTCAGTCTGCTTTCTAATGGCGTCCAAGACCATCATCCCAGGGATGGCAACTCCACAATGAACTGGGTCCTTCCGTATCAGTCACTAATTAGGAAAATTTCCTGTAGGCTTGCCTACAGCATTTTCTCGATTGATGTTCCCTCCTCTCAGATGGCTCTAGCTTATGTCAAGTTAACATAGAAAGTAGCCAGGACAAGGTGCTTAATTATACATAAGCCTTTGGGTGGCTGGGAGGGAGTTTCTTTTCTTTTTTTTTTTTTATGTTTTTAAATAAAATTATTTTTTTATTAATTATGATTTATTCACTTTGTATACCAACTGTAGCCCCCTCCCTCATGCCCTCCCAATCCCACCCTCCCTCCTTCATCTCCATCCATGGTCCTCCCCGAGTCCTTTGATGGGGAGGACCTCCTCCCCTTCACCTGACCCTAGTCTATCAGGTCTCATCAGGACTGGCTGCATTGTCTTCCTCTGTGGCCAGGTAAGGCTGCACTCCCCTCAGGGGGAGGTGATCAAAGAGCAGGCCACTGAGTTCATGTCAGAGACAGTCCCTCTTCCCATTACTAGGGTACCTACTTGGACATTGAGCTGCCATGGGCTACATCTGTCCAGGAGTTCTTGGTCATCTCTATGCATGGTACTTGGTTGGAGTATGAGTCTCAGAAAAGATCTCTGTGCCTAGATTTTTTTTTCTCGCCTTCCAGAACTCCTCTATCTCCCCCTTCTTTCATAAAATTTCCTGCACTCTGCCCAAAGATTGGCCATGAGTCTTAGCATCTGCTTTGATACCCTGCTGGGTAGAGTCTTTCAGAGTCCCTCTGTGGTAGACTCCTGTCCAGCTCCCTGTTTTCTCCTTCTTCCAATGTCCATCCTGTTTGCCTTTCTAAGTGAGGATTGATCATCTTACCCAGGGTCGTCCTCCTTGCTTAGCCTCTTTAGGTGTACAGATTTTAGTATGTTTATCCTATATTATATGTCTAATATCCACTTATAAGTAAGTATATACCATGTGTGTCTTTCTGCTTCTGGGATACCTCATTCAGGATGATCTTTTCTAGTAGGGAATTTCTTTTAATCTTGACCTAATTATATGATTTAAGATTTTATTGCTCAAGAAATTGTCTCTTGTGCCAATGAGTTCAAGGCTCTTCCCCACTTTTTCTTCTAACAGATTTAGTGTGTCTGGTTTTATGTTGAGGTCTTTGATCCACTTGGACTTTAGTTTTGTGTAGGGTAATAAAAATGGATCTATTTGCATTTTTCTGCATGTAGATATCCAGTTATACCAGCACCATTTGTTGAAGCATCATTTGTTGTCTTTTTTCCATTGTATGGTTTTGGCTTCTTTGTCAAAAATCAAGTATCCATAGCTGTGTGGGTTTATTTCTGGGTTTCTATTCGATTCCATTGATCCATCATTCTCTTTGTATGCCAGTACCATGCAGATTTTATTACTATTGCTCTGTAGTACAGCTTGAGATCAGGAATGGAGATACCTCTAAAAAATCTGTTGTTGTATAGGATTGTTTTGGTAATCCTGGGTTTTTTATTTTTCCATATGAAGTTGATAATTGTTCTTTCAAGGTCTGTAAAGAATTGTGTTGATATTTTGATGGGAATTTCATTGAATCTGTAGATTGCTTTTAGTAGGATGGCCATTTTCACTATGTTAATCCTACTGATCCGTGGGAATCAGAGATCTTTCCATCTTCTGAAATCTTCTTCTATTTCTTACTTCAGAACTTGAAGTTTTTTTCAAACAGATCTTTCACTTGCTTAGCTAGAGTTACACCAAGGTACCTTATGTTATTTGTGACTATTGTAAAGGGTGTTGTTTCCCTAATTTCTTTTTCAGCCCTTTTGTCTTTTGTATACAAGAGGGCTACTGATTTTTTTAAATTAATTTTGTATCCAGCCACTTTGCTGAAGGTGTTTATTAGCTGAAGGAGTTCTCTGGTTGAATTTTGGGGGTCACTCATGTATACTATCATATCATCTGCAAATAGTGATACTTTGACTTCTTCCATTCTGATTTGTATCCTCTTGATCTTATCTTAGTTGTCTTATTGCTCTAGCAAGGACTTCAAGTACTATGTTGAAGGGCTATGGAGAGAGTGGGTAGCCTTGCCTTTTCCCTGATTTCAGTGGGATTGATTTAAGTTTCTCTCCATTTAGTTTGATATAGTAAGCTATAGGCTTGCTGTATATTGTCTTTACTATGTTTAGGTATGTGCCTTGTATCCTTGATCTCCCCAACACTTTAAATATGAAAGGGTGTTGGATATTGTCAAATGCTCTTTCTACATCTAAGGAGATGATCATGTGGTTTTTCTCCTTCAGTTTGTTTATATGATGAATTATATTGATAGATTTCCATATATTCAACCATACCTGCATGTGTGGATTGAAGTCTACTTGATCATGCTGGATGATATCTTTTATGTGTTCTTGGATTTGGTTTGGAAGTATTTTATTGAGTGTTTTTGCATCAATGTTCATAAGAGAGATAGGTCTATAATTCTCTTTTTTTGTTGGGTCTTTGTGTGGTTTAGGTATCAAGGTGACTGTGACTTTATAGAATGAGTTTGGGCTTTTTTTTTTTTCAAGGGAGACTTTTGAACAGAACACCAACAGCACAGGCTCTAAGAGCAACAACCAATAAATGGGACCTCATGAAACTGAAAAGCTTCTGTAAAACAAAGGATACTGTCATCAAAACAAAATGACAGCCTACAGATTGAGAAAGGCTCTTCATAACTTACATCTGACACAGGGATAATAGCCAGAATATACAAAGAACTCAAGAAGTTAAACAGCAACAAAACAAGTAATCCAATTAAAAATGGGGTACAGAGCTAAACAGAGAATTCTCAATAGAGGAATATCGAATGGCAGGGAAACACTTAAAGAAATGCTCAACTTCCTTAGTCACCAGGGAAATGCAAATCGAAATGAACCTGAGATTTCACCTTATACTCATCAGAATGACAAAGATCAAAAACTCAAAGTGACAACACATGCTGGAGAGGTTGTGGAGAAAGCAGAACCCTCCTCCATTGCTGGTGGAAATGTAAACTAGTACAATCACTTTGGAAATCAGTCTGGTGCTTTCTCAGACAATTAGGAATAGAGCTTCCTCAGGATCCAGCTATACCACTCCTGGATATATGCCTACATGCCCAAAATATGCTCAAGTACACAACAAGGACATGTGCTCAACCATGTGTGTAGCAGCTTTATTTGTAATAGCCAGAAGCTGGAAACAACCCAGATGTCCCTCAAATGAGGGATGTATACAGAGATTGTGGTACGTTTACATAATGGAATACTACTCAGCAATTAAAAACAAGGAAATCATGAAATTTGTGGGCAAATGGTGGGATCTAGAAAAGATCATCCTGAGTGAGGTATCCTAGAAACAGAAAGATACACATGGTATATACTCACTTATAAGTGTATATTAGACATATACTATAGGATAAACATACTAAAATCTGTACACCTAAAGAAGCTAAACAGGAAGGAAGACCCTGGGCAGATGATCAATCCTCATTCAGAAAAGCAAACATGATGGACATTGGAAGAGGGAGAAAACAGGGAATAGGACAGGAGCCTACCACAGAGGGCCTCTGAAAGACTCTACCCAATAGAGTATCTAAGCAAATGCTGAGACTCATAGCCAAACTTTGGGCAGAGTGCAGGGAATCTTAGGAAAGAAGGAGTAGACAGAAAGACCTGGAGGGGACAGGAGCTCCACAAGAATAGCAACAGAACCAGAAATCTGGGCCCAGCAGTCTTTTCTGAGACTGATACTCCAACCAAGGATCATTCATGGAGATAACAGAATCCCTGCTCAGATATAGCCCATGGCAGCTCAGTATCCAAGTGGGTTCTCTAGTAATGGGAACAGGGACTGTCTCTGACATGAACTCAGTGGCCTGCTCTTTGGTCATCTTCTGCTGATTGGGGAGCAGCCTTACCAGGCCACAGAGGAAAACAATGCAGGAAGTCCTGATGAGACCTGATAGGCTAGGGTCAGAGGGAAAGGGAGGAGGACCTCCCCTATCAGTGGACTTGGAGAGGGGCATGGGAGGAGATGAGGGAGGGAGGGGTCTACAGCTGGGATACAAAGTGAATAAACTGTAATTAATATAAAAAATTAAAATTAAAAAATGTTATTGCCTTACAGTTTATTAGGCTGTAGGCCTTAAACAAAGAATCCTATGAGCAAAGAAACAATAAAGATTAACAATGAGCAAAGATTAACAGTAAAACTACTGCCTTATTAATACTTGCATTCTGAATTCATAAAACTTTTAAAAACCGTGAGTGAGCATGTGTGTGTGTGTGTGTGTGCGTGCGTTCGTGTGTGTGTGTGTGTGTGTGTGTGTGTGTGAGCACACACATGTGGAAGTGAGAGGACAGCTTCTAGCGTCAGTCTTCGCCTTCCACCCTGTTTGAGCCAGGGACTCTCTTGTTTCTGCCACTGTGCTATATACTCCAGGGTAGCTACGGAGCAAACATCCAGGCAGTTCTCCTGTCTCCGCCTCCCATCTCACCTTAGGAGTGCTGAGATGAGATGCGTGCTACTGCATCTGGCTCTTTAATGTTCCTGGCGATGTGAACTCAGGTAGGTCATCAGGCGGCCAGTGCTCTTATTCCCCTAAACTGTCCCTTAGGGCTTATTCTGAATTTTTCATTGGATACAGTGGTATTTAGAAGGTTACACTGGACTTAGTGTTTTCATCATGACTACCATAATATTTGTAAATCAAATGTGAACTTTTTAATTTTACTCTAAAAAGCGTTACCGATATGTTCAGCAAAGTATGCCATAGTTAACTTATGATGAGGCTTGAAGGAACAGGTTGTTTATTTTCATAATAAAGACTTTTTTTAAGTATCTAAATAGATATATCTTAATTTTCTTTTAGAATAGTAGAAGACTACCATGACTTATATACATTACAGAGAGGAAGGATGGAGAAGGATATTAAACTGTTAATGTCAGAAAGAGACATTTGGAGCTCAGCCACATATGAACTGGCTCTAAAGGTTTGTTCCTTTGGAATTACAACTCAGACTCCTATATTAACTAAGCTTTCATTTGATAATTCTTTTTTTTTTGTTTGTTTGTTTTAGTTTTTCAACCCAGGGTTCTCTGTAGACTGGGCTGGCCTTGAACTCACAGAGATCCTCCTGCCTCTGTCTCCCAAGTGCTGGGATTAAGGGTGTGTACCACTACCACACAGCCCATTTGATAATTTTTAATTAAAACACACAAAGGGTAAAATAAAAAAGAAGGTAAATATTTATTGATAAATAACATGGTTTTATGGGCACTGAAAGATGGAAAGTTTCTTCTGTTGGGTAACTAGCTATTGTGAAATTCAGGGCTATTTTCTTCTTTAACCAAAACCTATAAACTATGACTATAAATTCTTTTGTTTGTGCAGATATTAAAACTTATAACTTTAATGTATGCCAGTTTGTAGAGCTAATGTACATTAATTCCCTAAAAAAGGTAGTATGGCCAATATGTATCAATTCTAATGTCTATAAAAGGGAACTCTTACTGTTTCATCTCCTGTTGTGTCACTCTGGTTATAGTACATTAGCAAGTGAATCAAATGAGGGAACCCTATAAAATATGGAAATAAAGATTTATTGTGAGAACAGATCCCACAATATTCTACAATTAAAAAAATGTATGTTTTGCAAATAATGCTGGTCTAACTAGATTTCTACATGTAGAAAAATGCAAATAGATCCATATTTATCACCCGGCACAAAACTAAAGTCCAAATGGATCAAAGATCTCAACATAAAACCAGACACACTAAACCTCTTAGAAGAAAAAGTGGGGAAGAGCCTTGAACTCATTGGCACAGGAGACAACTTCCTGAAAAGAACACCAACAATCAGGCTCTAAGAGCAACAATCAATAAATGGGACCTCATGAAACTGGAAAGCTTCTGTAAAGCAAAGGATACTGTTGTCAGAACAAAATGACAACCTACAGACTGGGAAAGGATCTTCACCAACCCTATATCTGACAGAGGGCTAATATCCAGAATATATAAAGAACTCAAGAAGTTAAACAGCAACAAATCAAGTAATCCAATTAAAAAATGGGGTACAGAGCTAAACAGAGAATTCTCCATAGAAGAACATCGAATGGCAGAGAAACACTTAAATGTTCGACGTCCTTAGTCATCAGGGAAATGCAAATCAAAACGAACCTGAGATTTCACCTTACACCCATCAGAATGGCTAAGATGAATAACTCAAGTGACAACACATGCTGGAGAGGTTGTGGAGAAAGGGGAACCCTCCTCCACTGCTGGTGGGAATGTAAACTTGTACAACCACTCTAGAAATCAATCGGGCGCTTTATCAGACAATTAGGAATAGTGCTTCCTCAAGATCCAGCTATATCACTCCTAGGCATATATCCAAAAGATGCTCAAGTATACAACAAGGACATCTGCTCAACCATGTTTGTAGCAGATTTATTTGTAATATCCAGAAGCTGCAAACAACCCATATGCCCCCCAGTTGAGGAATGGATACAGAAATTGTGGTACATTGACACAATGGAATACTACTCAGCAATTAAAAACAAGGAAATCATGAAATTTGCAGGCAAATGGTGGGAACTAGAAAAGATCATCCTGAGTGAGGTATCCCAGAAGCAGAAAGACAGACAGGGTATATACTCACTTATAAGTGGATACTAGATATATAATATAGGATAAACCTATAAAAATCTGTACTCCTAAAGAAGCTGAGCTAGAAGGAGGACCCTGGGCAATATGTTCAGTCCTTATTCAGAAAGTGACAGCAGGATGGACATTGGAAGAAGGAAAAAGCAGGAAACAGGACAGGATCCTACCACAGAGGGCCTTTGAAAGACTCTACATTAAATTTCCCAGTGCTCTCTCATTATCTTCAAACTGTACGTTTGGTATTTCTTTTTCCCTTACTTGCTCATTTTCATTATAGACCTGCATAGAAGTGATTTACTGATCACCACATGACAGAGTCAATATTAGGCTGTCTTGAAATTTCCTCTATCAAAGAATTTAGGCTATTTTAAAATTTAGCCTTAGGCAGATTATTAGGGCAAGGGTAGAAGGAAGCCATAGTCCTTGCCAAAGCATCTCGGAACTATTTTCTAGCCCAATTCTAATATTGTTTTCCTCGAAACCTCTTGAGCTACGCCTCTGTAGTCCACATTGTTCTCAGCCCTACCGTTCTCCAAGCTCCTACTATGATGGTGTACTAAACTCTGCTTATAGCATTCAACCTATTTTCTAGTCCAAAGTCTCAAATTCTTCCACACTCCTCAGGGGAAAAACAAATATGGTCATGTCTGTCACAGCAATAACCCACTTCCTGGCACCAACTTCTGTCTTAGTTGCTTTTGTATTGCTATGATAAAACACCATGCCCATGCGAACTTATAAAAGAAAGTGTCTAGTTGGGCTTATAGCTCAGAGGGTTAGAGCGCATGGTGGAGCAAAGGCGGCTAAGCATGGTCCCGATCCAAAAGCAGGAGGCAGGGAGAGGGCACACAGAGAGCTGTGACAGCCTTTTGAAACTCCAAAGCTTGCTCCAGGGACAGACCTCCTTCAGCAAGGCCACATCTCCTCATCTTTCCCAAACAATTCTATCTACTGGGGACCAAGTGTTCAAACCTATGAGCCTATGGAGACCCTTCTTCAAATTGCCACATCTGTCACATATAGGACCATGTCCTATGCTGTAGGGACACTTTGACTTCTTTCTTTTATTCTTTCCTTTCTTCTACTGCTCTAGCCAAGACCTGAATTCCCCACAAAGGTAAACCTAGGACTGGATGGATTCAATACCAAGTTCTACCAAACATTTAAGGAAGAGCTAACACCAGCATTCTTCAAACTCTTCCACATAATCTTGAGGGAATGACAAAACCACCGTCATTCCTACATCTGCCTGTGTTACCCCAGTACAAAGACTAGATGAGGACACAGTAGCAACAACTAAACTACAGGCCAGTTTTCTTGAAAACATAGATACATAACTTAATAAAACTCTTGAAAATCATATTCAAGAACACACTAAAGTCATAAATATGACCAAGTTGTGTGGTTTCTTCCCCTTGATTCAAGGTTGGTTCAACATACACAAATCAACAAACACATAAAGCATATTAATAGATGAAAACCACAGAGTTATCTCAGCAAACACAGAAAAGGTATTGGAAAAAGTTCAACCTCTCTTCTTGATAAAAGTCCTCCGCCTGGGAGGCAGTGACCTCCTTTAATCCCACTGGGGAGGCAGAAGAAGTAGGTGGATCTCGGTTCAAGGCCAGCCTAGTCTACAGAGCAAGTTTCAGGATAGCCAGGACTACACGGAGAAGTCCAGTTTCAAAAAACCAACCAATCAACCAACCAACCAACCAACCAACCAACCAACCAACCAACCAACCAGCAAAAAGTCCTCAAGAGACAAGGAATAAAAGGAACATATCTCCTTCCTGATCAGCTTCCTTATGTGTACATATTTTAGTATGTTTATCCTATATTATATGTCTAGTATCCACTTATAAGTGAGTATATACCCTGTCTGTCTTTCTGCTTCTGGGATGCCTCACTCAGGATGATCTTTTCCAGTTCCCACCATTTGCCTGGAGATTTCATGATTTCCTTGTTTTTTATCGCTAAGTAATATTCCATTGTGTAGATGTACCACAATTTCTGTATCCATTCCTCAACTGAGGGACATCTGGGCTGTTTCCAACTTCTGGCTATTACAAATAAATCTGCTACAAACATGGTTGAGCAGATGTCCTTGTTGTATACTTGAGCATCTTTTGGATATATGCCTAGGAGTGGTATAGCTGGATCTTGAGGAAGCACTATTCCTAATTGTCTGATAAAGCGCCCGATTGATTTCTAGAGTGGTTGTACAAGTTTACATTCCCACCAGCAGTGGAGGAGGGTTCCCCTTTCTCCACAACCTCTCCAGCATGTGTTGTCACTTGAGTTATTCATCTTAGCCATTCTGATGGGTGTAAGGTGAAATCTCAGGTTCGTTTTGATTTGCATTTCTCTGATGACTAAGGACGTTGAACATTTCTTTAAGTGTTTCTCTGCCATTCGATATTCCTCTATTGAGAATTCTCTGTTTTTAGCTCTGTACCCCATTTTTTAATTGGATTACTTGATTTGTTGCTGTTTAACTTCTTGAGTTCTTTATATATACTGGATATTAGCCCTCTGTCAGATAGAGGGTTGGTGAAGATCCTTTCTCAATCTGTAGGCAGTCATTTTGTTTTGATGACAGTATCCTTTGCTTTACAGAAGCTTTCCAGTTTCATGAGGTCCCATTTATTGATTGTTGCTCTTAGAGTCTGTGCTGTTGGTGTTCTTTTCAGGAAGTTGTCTCCTGTGCCCATGAGTTCAAGGCTCTTCCCCAGGACTCTGGGTAAGATGCTCAATCCCCATTCAGAAAGGTAAAGAGGATGGATATCGGAGGAGGGAGAAAACAGGGAACAGGACAGGAGCCTACCACAGAGGGCCTCTGAAAAGCTCTACCCTGCAGGGTATTGAGGCAGATGTTGAGACTCATAGCCAAACTTTGGGCAGAGTACAGGGAATCTTATGAAAGAAGTGGGAGATAGTAAGAACTGGAAAGGACAGGAGCTCCACAAGGACAGCGACAGATTCTAAAAGTCTGGGCACCGGGATCTTTTCTGAAACTGATACTCTAGCCAAAGACCACTCATGGAGATGGCCTGGAACCCCTGCACAGAGGTATCCTATGGCAGTTCAGTATCCAAGTGGCCTCCATAGTAATGGGGACAGGGACTGTCTCTGATATGAACTGATTGGCCTGCTCTTTGATCACTTCCCCCCAAGGGGGGAGCAGCCTTACCAGGCCACAGAGGAAGACAACAGCCAGTCCTGATGAGACCTAATAGACTAGGATCAGAGGGAAGGGGAGGAGGACCTCCCTTTTCAGTGGACTGGGAGAGAGACATTGGTGAGGAAGAGGGAGGGTGGGATTGGGAGGGGAGGAGGGAGGAAGGTACGGGGAGGGGATACAAAGTGAATAAACTGTAATTAATAAAAAAATCTAAAAAAAAAAAAAGAACATATCTCAACATAGTAATGGCTATCCAAACTTTAAATGGGGGGGACCAGAAATGATTTCCTTTAAAATAAAAAAGGACAATCTGGAAGTATGGCTCAGTCAGCATAGTGCCTGTCATATAAGCATTAGGATGAGTTCAGTTCCTAGACCCATGTTAAAAATCCAGGTGTGGTCACATGTCCCCAAGTGCAGCACAGGCTGGGGGCTGAGGCAGACAGAGCATGCCGGCTAGCTAGTCTAGCCAATCAGTGAGTCTCAGGTCCAGTGAGAGGCCTGTGTCAATAGATAAGGTGGAGGTGCAGGAGGGATGGGAAAATGAAGGGAAGTGATTGGCACAGAAGCCTGATGACCCTCAATTCAATCTACACAGCCCATATAAAGATGGGAAGAAGTAACTCAAGTCATTTTCAGACCTGCACGTGCACCCCTCCCACACCCCTTACACCCCCCCCACACTGGTAATAATGTATAAAATTTTATGAAGTGGTAAGCTAGAGAGCTACCAAGGAAGATATCCCAAAATAGCCTATTTTCATACAGGAGGTCTTACAAAGGTACCCAGGACCTGTTTCCTGAGTCACATAGAGAGAGGATGGGATTCCTGTCCTCTGCAGATGTGTCTGCCAGAGGAACACTGACTCACCAAAGCCTGCAGCAGGCTTCTGTTCACTGAATGAGTGCTGTGGGTAGGGCGGCTGCTCTTCCTCAGCCAGCTACTTCAGCTTTTGGGTGAGTCCTGTTTGGGTAGGGTGCATTGGCAACGGTGTTCAGCACGGCTTCTTCTTCTTTTTTTTTTTTTTTTAAATTTTCTTTATTTGTATGTATGTGTGTGTGAGAGAGAGAGGCAGAGAGACAGAGAGACACACAGAGAGACAAAGAGAGATGGGAGAGAGAGAGAGAGAGGCAGAGAGACAGCATGCATGTTACTGTGCTTGAGTGGAGGTCAGAGGCCTTTGGTTCTCCACTTCACCCCCCTCTCTCTCTCTCCACACATACACACACACACATTTAAGCAATAGGATGGCTAGCCTGAAAGCTTCCAGGGACTTTCCTGCATCCTGTTCGCCAGCTGTGCCTGGGTTCTGGGTTTTTGAAGTCAGGTTGTCACACGTCACCTCCTGGGCCATTGGCTGCTTTTCCATGGATTGTCTTTCTTTCTCACAACAACTTTCAGGTATCCTGTCGTCATCCTTGGGAGGTGCTGACGCTTGCCCAGTGTTCAGCGTGGTCTGAAATCTCTTTCTCTGGTTGGCAGCTTATGCTCTTCCATCTTACCCAGAAGTCTTGAATTGTAATTTGAATACAACTTGAATTGTGCTTCCAGTTCAACTGTTTTAGAAATGTGTTTATTTGTGGTTCAAATTACTCAGTTAGTAAAGAAATTTTGATGAAGTAATGACAATAAAAATTGATATGTAAAAACATTACAAGTAAATAATGGTGTTTAAAAACTTTTAGGTTCCTGATTATAGTACTTTTTTTTTATTTATAGGTAATTGAAAGAAATAGAGTCATAATGGCTAAAAAACTCTTCCTCAATGAAAAAGGCTGGAATAAATATGCTAAGCATTTCAATATAATGCTGTCAACTAAGGTAAATCCCAGTTTACCTAAGTCAAGGGGAAAATGACTATAAGTGTTATGTGTTGAAGACATAGTCTTGGCTTTGCTAAATTGAGTACAGTTCTATACTTAATGCTTTATTGTGGGAAGAATGAAAAAATATATAAGGGAAGAAATAACTCTTAGTTACATTGTCTTCCATTGTAATTGAAGCAGTACATCTAATAATACTCCAGAGTTTCAGAGAGTTACTCATTTGTTAGTGCTTAAGCTAAAATAAAAGTAAAAGGCGTGCTTGAGCATGCTGTTTATGCCTGTAACCTTGGAATGCAGGAGGCTGAAGCAGGAGGGTCACAAGTTCAAGGCAAGCCTGGGCTACAGAGAAAGAGAGGAGGAAGAAGAGGCAAAGGTACACGATGAGAGGGAGGAGAAAAGGAGATACTACTGATACTTTCTGAAACGATTTTAGGAGAAAATTTATTGATTCCCCCAAGGGATAAAATGAACTGGCACTTCCTGCATTTTCACCAAGTCAAACCACGCCGGTCATGAACCTCCTCCCTTCTGCGCCCATCAAGTGGATTTATTAAGCAAATGTGAGAAAGACTGCTGGAGAGCAGGAAGGACTCTGAGGAAGGAACACCTTCCATTTGACTTTATTTTAAATATTTATTTTTAAATGTATGTGCACGTATGTGTGCCTATGTGAGTTTATATGTGCCATGTGTGTGCAGGTGCCCTCGGGCCAGAAGAGGTCATCAGATCCCTTGGAACTGCAGTCACAGGCAGTTGTGAGTCCCCAGAGATGGATGCTGGGAACAGAACTCCAGACCCACCCCTGCAAGATTAGAAAGCGTTCTTAACTCCTGAGTCATTTCTCCAGCTCTGTCATCTCACTGTTAACATAATCCTCTGAGATATATATTAGGGCCTTTATTTTTTGGATAATAAAAATGAACTTTAGATTAAATAGTGTCACTGTCTAGAATTCACATTTGGTTCTGCCTGGCTTCCCAATTCTTGTCTTTGCCAGTGTGTCATTCTGCCCCTGCAAAAATCTGTGGGAAAACTAGGTTCCTGTTGCAAAGAAAAAAATTCTTGTCCCTAATAATGTGTACCATGGAAAACCCATTACCATAGTGTCAGTGGTGGTATTTTGAAAGAAAAATATCTTTTCAACCTTTTGGTCTACTTCCTGTGAATTATTCTAGTAATTTGATATTAATACAGGTCTGGTACATGCCAATCAATGTTTGTTTATATGAATAAACAAATACTTTGATTCTCTGCATTTCAGGACACTGGAGACCTTGAAACACTGCAGAAGTTGACAGAACAATGGAAAAGGTTTGTGCATAGGTTTAAGCAGGATGTGGAAGCCACAGAGAAGACTATTACAGATATATCCCAAACTGTGAAAGCTGGGATTCTCAAGTGGCAGCAATTCTTCAAAAATAACGTGTGAGTCTGCAAGAGTCTGCTTTTCTGACTTCGTTACATATGTCTGTTAACTCAGCCAACCACATCGTTAATTACCCTAACACTGCGTGTGGGGAGGTGAGAACACCCGTTATTGGCTCAAAGTGCTGTTCTTCAAAGCATCTGGGCCTTAAACTCAGAGGCTTTCTAGTGCTAAACACCCAGCAGTCCTGACACCCTGCCACACTGCTGCTGCCTTCTTTCAACTCCAACTCTTTGACCCTTCCTTCCTCCCTTCCTTCCTTCCTTCCTTCCTTCCTTCCTTCCTTCCTTCCTTCCTTCCTTCCTTCCTTTCTTCCTTCTTCCTTCCTCCCCTCCTTCCTTCCTTCCTCCCTCCCTCCCTCCTCTTCCTTCCTTCCTTCCTTCCTTCCTTCCTTCCTTCCTTCCTTCCTTCCTCCTTGCTTCTTTTTTCTTTTTTTTTTGGTTTTTTGAGACAGGGTTTTTCTGTGTAGCCCTGGATGTCCTGTAACTTGCTCTGTAGGACAGGCTGACCTCAAACTCACAGAGGATTCAGCTGCCTGGGCCTCCAGAGTGCTGGGATTAAAGGCGTGTGCTACTGCCACCAAGGCCTGATCTTTTACATTTTATTTTTATTTGAGTGTATGTATGTGTGTGTCTCTGTGTTCACACAGTATGTGAGTGATGTGCATGTATGTGTATGTGCCCAAAGAAGCCAGAAGATCCAAGGGTTGGATCCCTTGGAGATGGAGTTCTAGGCAGTTGTGAGCTGTCTCACTTGGGTCCTTTGGAAGAGCAGCAAGTTTGTGTGTGTGTGTGTGTGTGTGTGTGTGTGTGTGTACATGTATATGTGTGCCACTCACATACATGCCTGAAAAATTCAGAGGACAATCTTCAGACATTCCTGTCTTTCTGCCTCGTTTGACATAGGGTCTATACCATGTAAGCCCAAAAGCTTCTGGATAATCTCCTGTCTCCATTACTCACAGGCAAGCTGAGATTACAGACAGTTTTTGCTAATACTTCCAGGTTTTATGTGAGCTCTGGGGACCCAATGGTCATCAGGCGTGTGTGTTGGTGCTTTTCCCCCACTGACTATTTCCCTATCCTAGAGCAGTCTGAAGGGGGAAGGAACCAGCAGTAAAGTAATTCCGTTGAGTCTGGGCAGTGAAATCATTTCTACAGAGAGAAGGTTAGTGGGAACTTCTACTTTAGATGCAGACCGGGACTAGAGGCTCTCTGCTCCCATCTCACACATGACTCAATCACTGCCTGTTTCCTGGCACTCGAATTCTAGCCCAAAAGCAGTGCAGAAGAGTGATAGTTAACCTCTGTGTGACTGCATATGGAGTCACTCTGGAATCTCCTGGAGCATCTTGGGATGGAGTTTCTAGAGAGGTTCAGCTGAGGATAGAAGGCCTGCACCATTCCCATGAGTGCATTGTCGAAGAGAATCATTGAAAACACATTTCTATTTCAAAGTTAATGTTGTGGGTTCAGTTTTTCACAACCCTAGAAGACTTACTAGAGGTGAAGATTCTGAAAGCCAAAGCTGGTGTATGTCCTAGTGGCTTCGAGGAGCCAACAGTGAGGGAGCCCAGGTGTCATTGTCTTTGTTCTTCAGGAACTTTTTAAGAATAACTTTATCGCAGTGTTTGCATCATATTTGGTGTACTGAACAAATAAACTTTCCAATTTAAACAAACAAACAAGCAAATAAACAAAAAACAACCAAGAATAACTTTTATAGGCTAGCTATGATGATTTTCACCTGTAAGGCCTCATGAAGTAGAGGTAAAAGATCATGAGTTCAAGGCCATCCTGGGCTACTTCGTGAGACCCTGTTTTTCTTTTAATAAATAGTCTTTAAGCAGTCACTTGTAGGTCTTCATTGCTAAGCATGCCTGCTTTTCTGAGTTCCGATTTTAAAACTCAATTTTTTTCCTCAATTCTCTCTCTCTTTTCATTACTAATCAAAAGCTTAAGCATACTTTTCCTGGCACTGGACCTTGTCACTGTTCTTCTGAAGATACTGTCTTGTCCCCTGCGCCCCATTTCTAGAACTGTTTGATAATCTCCATGCCACGTTCCTAAAACTTTTTCTTCTCTTCTTCATCTTCCTCCTGTAAGCAGCTGTTGGGGTTTTCTGCTTACTTGCTCAGTTGTTTTTCTTTCAAACTGTAATAAAATTATCTTCAAGCTTCAAAAAATTTTTTTTGTTGTTTAAAAAATTCAATAGTCAGGTAGTGATGGTACAAACCTTTAATCCCAGCACTTGGGAGGCAGAGGCAGGCAGATCTCCCAGAAGGAGACCAGTCTAGTCTACAGAGCAAGTTCCAGGATAGCCAGATTTACACAGAGAAACCCTGTCTTGAAAACAAAACAAACAAAAACCAAAACATTAAACAAATAATAAGTAACAATATAAAACAATACAAATAAAACAGCTTTCTTCTTGTACACAGAAACAAAAGAAAAGTTAAGGCTCCTTACCTACTGTTGTCTTAGTTATTGTTAGGCTTCCTGTCTGTTCATGTTATTTGTCAGTCGTATTCAGCAGAAATTCGTATGAACACCTTAGTCTTGAGTTCTCAAAATGAGAGCTCACTCTTTAAAGAGATACTCTGAAGGCTTCAAGCCCTGTACAACTTGGTTAGCTAGGACTAGAATTTGTTATTTCTAATTATGAATTTGAAGTAAAATGCCCATGAGGAGAGGCTGGGCCTGGAGGCCATGCTGAAAGATGGCAGAGGTAAAAAGTAATGTTGCTGTTTGTGTGGGGACTCATGATTTTCTTTGTGTATCCCTTGTTCTGAGACCTTTCTTGCTCTTTTTTTTTTTACCCTAGCGGAAAAGATATTGTAATCCCTAATAAGGCAAATCCTTTCAAAGCAGTTTTCATAGAGTTCAAGGAGTTTCACAAGGTAAGACTTTCTCAAAACAGTCTGGTAATACGACTGCTGGTGGCAAGTGTGATGGCTTCCTCCACAGCTGAGCCATACTTCATCCTTTAAAATGGCATATCAAGGTTTGTGAATGACAGAAAAAATGAAAAGGAAAAATCCAGCAAGACCGCTGGGACCTGTAAAATATGTTTAAATATGTGTCAGTTCTGTTCCAGCTTTGTTGGTTAAATGAAGTCAGGCTGCATGATGAGAGTGGCTTTGATTCCTAGCTGAATTCCCATTTTAGGTATTGGTTCTGCCCCCTTATATATAGCTTTTGTATAAAGGACAAATTAGACTTTTAAAGTTAATTACATTTTTATAAATCATGGGAAAATATAACATAAAACTTACTGCCTTAGCCATTTATGTGTGCTTGTTAGTGGCATGGAGTACATTCATACTGCTGTATGCTTTCCAACTAAAATGCTGCTCATTAAACAGTAGCTCCCAGTGTTTGCTTTTCCTCAGCCCCTGATGAGCGTTAGCCTACTGTGAATTTGATGATTCTAGTGTTTGTTCACCTATGAATGGCTTATTTCCCTCAGCACATTGCCTTCAAGGTTCATTCATGTTTCAGGATTAACTCCATTTTTAAGGCCAATCTTTATTGTGTATGTGCCATATATATTACACTTCCATACATTATTTGGATTTTTTTAAGTTTCAAGCTTTGAAATAAATTTTATTAATTAAGTCACTATTATAAGGGCCAGGGATATGTTATAGTACCACTGAGCGTAACACATGCAAGGCCCCAGTTCAAGCCTTACACACACACACACACACACACACACACACACACACACACACTTTCTCTCTCTCTCTCTCTCTTTCTCTCTGCTATTATGTTATAGTAGTGGGACATAGGAAAATGTATAATGACATCCAATTAATTTAAGAAGAAATATAAAATTCATACCTAATGAAATATCATACAGAGCCCAGGAAATTGTGTATGTGTGCTTTTGAGACTAGGTCTCAAGTTGCCCATTCTGATCTTGGACTTATGATGTAGCCAAGAACACTTTGGAGTTCCTTCCCCTGCCCCCCCCCCCCCCCCCCCCCCCCCCCCGGCCTCCTGGTGCTGGGTCTCCGGGTGCACACCACCGGGCCTCTCCATTTCCTCTTCTTCTGGAAAGACTTGATCATAATAATCTTAGGACTGAGGGTGTCTACCTTTCTATAGATAGTAAATTTTAGTGATTGCTTTTATTTGGCAGTTTTGACATGTATAGCTAAAACTGAAAAGTAATTTATTAGGAATAATAATAATTCTTATTTAGTTTATTAAGTCTGAAAATGCGATTCATACATTATCTTTTTCTTTCTGATAGCTCATGATGGAGGTTTTATGATCTCACACATTCCAAAACTGAAGCCTAGGAAGATAGCTAAGTGAATTATCTGTGGATGGCAAACGGCAGAATGAGAGTTTTAGCTTGAGTGTGTCTAACCCAAAATTCTTACAAAAGGGTACAAACAATTAAATAACCCATGAATCTCTAGAATGACTGAGAACCATGGAGGGTGGTGGCTCGGGACAGATGTCGATTAGTAATGTACTGTTCTCCTCTCTACTTCATTTTCTAGTTGATGAGTGAGCAGAAAGAGCAGTTTACAGGGAATGCTCTGGTATCCAAATATGACCATCTCAAGATGATCAAACGCTTACAGGAAAGCTGGACAAATGTTGCATTTGGGGTATTTAGTCGCCATAAGAATGCAGATGGGATGTTGCCATCAGAGTACCAATACATGGAAGAAATAATAAAAGCCACAGGCAACCTTTACAAAGAATATGAAATAAGAATAAATGGTGACAATGGTAAGCAAAACAAGGAAAATGAGATTTCTTGGCAGTGTAAAGAACCTTAACAGTAATTACACTGTTGAATACCACAATTCAAAGAGTTCATTAGAAATTAAAATCTAACATATAAGTACAAACTCATAGTTTTAAAGATCAAGCAAAATAAAGCGTTGAGTGTCATCTTGCTGAAATATAGTTTCATATATAACAAGGGCCACGGGTTTAAAATGTGACTACAGCATACACAGGCATGTTCACCCACTTCCACAGTCAAGTTCACAGTATTTCCGACACTTTACTAGCACTCCTGAATCCCGCCTCCTTCAGTTCTTCCTCCTTATTCCCTCATCCATACCTAGTCCTAAAGCCACTTTCTGTCCCATACACTTCCATTTGGGCTTTTCATATGAAAGAGAAGCGTGCTTTGTGCCTTTTCATGTTTCTTTCCATAGCATCATGATGTGTTTAGAGGTTATCTACTTTACAGCATGTATCAGTCTTTTATCCCCTCCCCCCTTATGTGGAGGCAGGCTCTGCCTATGTAGCCCTGACTGTCCTGAGAGCACTGTGCACACCAAACTTGCAGCCTTCGTGCCTCCGCCTCTCAAGTGCCCGGCTGGCAGTTATTGGCCACCAAGGCTGGCCTTCCACCATTTTATGGCCAGAGAAGGGGCCAGACGCATTGTATGGAGACATCTTGTTTTGTAGATGGTTTCAGCTATTGATACACATTTGGGTTTGTCTTTCTTTTCTGTTTTCATATATTTTGGAGGGAAGTCCTGGCAATTTGGCAGCTCTATGTTTAGCTTTCTGAAAACAAGTGGACACACATTTATGTTTCTCAAAAGCAGTTTTGAGGCTCTGATGTTTCTGCTTCCTTGGTGCTACTGTGGCCGTCTCACCATTACAGCAGGTGTGAAATACTGTTTCGTCATGGTCTTGATTTGTAATAACAGATGTTTTTGTGAGGTTCTTAGCTGTCTGTCCACCTTCTTTGGGAAAGTGCCTGCTGAGTGTGTGTGTGTGTGTGTGTGTGTGTGTGTGTGTGTGTGTGTTCCTTTTATCATTAAGTTGTAAGAGTTCTTTTGTTCTAGGTAAAATCACTTCTCAGGCATGTGAATTGCAAACATTTTCTTCCATTCCGTTGATTGCATTTTCAAGTTCCAATTTGTTTTGCTTGGATGTATGTCTGTGTACCACATGTTTGCAGGGACTGCGGAGGCCAGAAGAGGGCATATGAACCCCTGGAATAGGAGTTACATATGTTTGTCAGTTGCCATATGGGAATTGAACCTGGTTCCTTTGGAACCATTGAGCTCTCTCACCAGCCCAATCCTCATATTTCTTTGTTGAGTTATTTTGTAAAATAGGAAATTGGAGTCATCAGTCATTGCTTTGGAATAGCCTTCTAGTTTGGCTTTGTATGGTGTGGTTCTCTGTTACTGAGTGATTATCATTGCCATAGCTTCTTCATGGCTTGACCTTTTTATTAAATATAAGATCTCTGTGTCCTATTTATAAAGAGAAATCTTTAATTTTGTGCACATGAAGGGTGTGTATGATGGGGGCAATAGATGATTAGCTGCCTGCCATCATGCCAGGAAACCCAGGGTGAGGGAGGTGATCACCAAATCTACCTGTGGGTTTTCAGTTAGTTTCTTTCAGTCCAGGTCCTAGTCCCACTTGTGGTTATATGTCAATGTATCTGTCTCTTTCTTATTTTTTATGGATATTTGAATACTTTTTAACCCTAGTCAGAAACCAGGAATTGTTTTAAAATGCTAATTTCCTCGCCAGCTTATTGAATGTATGTCAGCTAGCTTTCACACTCTGGCCTAGACACTGTCTTTTAAGGGAGTGGCTAAGGCGGAGCTCTGCTAACTACTAATGGAACCAAGAACCTTCTGAAAGTGTTCTGGGGAGGAACGAGTGTTATCATCACTAAGTGCCCAGAAATGTTATTAGAAATCTATTCCTTTCTGGGAGATACCTACAAGATTACAGCCATTATTTACCTTCATGGAGCTTTTGTGATATCTCTGGCAGTTAGCTGTTCCCTTTGTTTACTTTATAGTTGTTGAGATGCTTTAATTATTTTTCATGCTATTTCCCTGTATCTGTATTACCTCTTCCCCTGTAACTCGTGCTTGTTAGATGACATGCTCTCAAGAAACATGTTTAACTATTAGCCCTTAAGTAAGCTAATAGTAGGAAATGAAAGGGACCCAAAAAGTACATTATGTCTACATTCTTCAGATTAGGTATTTTATGGAAAACGGTTGATGAATCTTTTTCCATTAAGAAAGCATAAAGGCTGGGGAGCTAGCTCAGTGCTTCCTGCATTGCATGAACACCTGAGCCCATAAGGCCAGCACCAGTGTTAGAAAGCTAGGTGTGGTCGTGTGCTTTTAATCCCAAAGCTGGAGGCCAGAGGATCCCAGAGTTTTGCTGGCCAATCTGTCTAACCAACGTGTGAGCTCCAGACTTAATAAAAGACCCTGTGAAATACATAAGTGGAGAACAGTTGAGGAGGGTGCCCAGTGTCAGCCTCTGGCCCCCATGTATACACACAAACATGACCAGAACCCCCCCCCTTCGTACCTGCAGGTGGAGACTGGACACATCCTAGTACCAGATGGCTTACTGCAGATGTCTATCAAATATTTACTATTAATTTTCTATGAAATTATTTCAGCATATTAAAGAGGATGTCATTCTTTCAAACTCATTCTGTGAGGCCACCCTTATTCTGATGTGCAACGCAGGAAACAAACAAAAAGAAAGCTATAGATCCATATCCTTGATGAACATACATGTAAAAATCCTCACCTGAATGCTGTCAATATGAACAACAGCACATTAAAAAAATATTAGTTTGTTTGTTTAACATCCAGACTGCAGTTCCTTCTCAATCCTCTCCCATCTGCCCCTCCCCTTCCCCATCCACTCCTCCTCCATTTCTCTTCAGAAAAGGACAGACCTCTCATGGATATCAACCAGCCCAAGGCCTATCAAGTTGTATGGTTTGGCATCTTTGTCAAAAATCAGGTGTCCATAAGTATGTGGGTTTATTTCAGGGTCTTCTATTTGATTCCATTGATCCACCAGTTGGTTTCTATGCCAGTACCATGCAGTTTTTAGTATTGTTGCTCTATAGTACAGCTTGAGATCAGGGATGGAGATACCTCCAGAAGATCTTTTATTGTAGAGGATTGTTTTAGCAATTCTGGGTTTCTTGTTATTCCATACTCCATTTTTAATTGCATTGTTTGGTTTGTTGTCTGTTTTCTTGAGTTCTTTTTATATTGTATATATCAGCCCTCTGTCAACTGTGAATTGTTAAAGGCTGCTGTTTTGTCTATTGTCCTTTGCCTTACAGAAGCTTTTTCTTTTTTGGTTTTTTTTTTTTGAGATAGGGTTTCTCTGTGTATCCCTGGCTGTCCTGGACTCACTTTGTAGACCAGGCTGACCTGGAACTCACAGATTCATTGCCTCTGCCTTCCAAGTGCTGGGATTAAAGGTGTACCACCATGACTGGTTTGACTTACAGAAGCTTTAAAGTGTCATAAGGTTTCATTTATTAATTGTTGATCTTAGTGCCTGCATGATTGGTGTTGTGTTCAAGAAGTTGTCTCATATGCCACTGTGTTTAAGGCTATTCCTCAGTTTCAGATTCATTTACATATACGTATAGACCCTTGGGAAAGTAAGATAGAAAGATTGATTGAGCCCAGAAGTTCAAGGCTTGCCTGGGCTACATACAACAAGTGATTTAACATGTTTAAGTACAATTTAGCTCAGAAAGGCAAAGATGGCTTAACATGCACAAATAAACCTTTACAAAATACCACTTCAACTGAATGAAGAGCAAAACTTTGTAATCATCTCAGTATATGCAGAAAAAGCATTTGATAAAATTCAATACCCCTTCATGATAAAAACAGAAGGGATATACTTAAATAATAGAGGCTATATATAATAAGGCCAAATGTTAGCATCATATGGAGAATACTATATTGGAGGAACAGTTGAGGTTTTTCTAAGACCTGTAACAAACAGTGATGTCTACTTCCACCCAAATAATACCACAAGGCCTAGTTAGAGTATCAAGGTGGTGCATGCCTATAATCCCAGCACTGAAGGAGGCAAAGGCAAGCAGATCTCTGTGAGTTTCAGCCCAGCCTGGTCTGCAGGCTACACAAAGAAATCCTGTCTTGAGAGAGACAGAGAGAGACAGAGAGACAGAGATACACACAGAGAGAATTAAGTAAGAGAAGGAAATAAAATGCATTTAGATTAGAAAGGGAGGAACTCAATTGTCACTGATTACAGGTGACATGAGCCTATATATGGAACACGCTAAGGATTCCACCACAAAACTGATAGAGCTAATAAATTCAACAGCTTCAGGATACATGAACAGCAACGTTGCCCCCCCTCCCCCCATACCAGATCAAAATAGCAATCCCATATTCAGGTGCTATAAAAAGTAAGTGAAACCATAGAACACCAATGAAGGAAATTAAAGAGAGCACAAAGATATGGAAATACATCCCATATGTTCATAGATAAGAAGAATATGTTAAAAAATACCCATGTTACTAAAAGTCTCGCCTTCTGCTCCTCCTGCCCTCATGGGCTGGTGGGCAACAGTCCTCCCCAGGGAAGAGGAAAACCACACTAAAATGCATATGGAATGAAAAATGTATGTCGAATAGCAGCAGCAAAATAAAACTCTAAAGCAGCAAGGTAGTCCTAAGCAAAAACTTCAAAGCAGGAGTCATTGTACTACCTGATTTTAAAATGTGCTACAAAGCTAGTCATTTAAATCAGGGTGCATAAGCATACTGTGAGGCTGAAGACCCTGAATCAGAGTGGCAAGGGACAGAAACAGATCTCCAGGACATTTTTCTCTTAAAAGTGAAACTCTAGCTATTAGACCACTCCTCGTTTCCCTCTGTTCCTCATTCCCCTCTGTTCCTCATTCCTGGCAGTCACAACTCCACCCTATTTCCATGAATCTGACTGCCCTTGATGCCTTAAGGCAGTGGTTCTCAGCCTTCCTGTGGAGGCCTTCCCCCCCCCCTTTTTTTTTCCTTTTTTCCTTTCCTTTCCTTTCCTTTCCTTTCCTTTCCTTTCCTTTCCTT